CCTCAAGAGGAAGCTTTTTTTAAAAAAGAACAACCTCTAATTTATTTATTGATCAATTTTCCTGTGTCCAAGATCAGTGTATCCTAATTTACAAAAATTGCTTAAAAATCACTAAGTAAAGAAACTTGAGCCTTGCTTGTTTGCACTGTTTCTGTAGCTATTACAGCATGTTCCACTTAGTATACAGTTACTTCTTCCAGTTGGACTTCATGGTTATTTTTAGCCTATATAAGTTCTCTTAGCTGGTGTGTGCTGGGACTTTCTATGACAATAGGCAACAAGGGCTCTGAACTGGTAAAGCTTTCTCTGCTGCTTCTCCTATGGTGGCCTATGTGCCTGTGGTGCCACAGGTAAAAACTTGTTTTAACCCCTTTGGACTTGATGATTAATAAAATATTGAGATTTTGGGCTTCAGTGGAAATTCCAAAGTTCTTTGACACAGAGGAAGAAAATGCCCTGAGAAGTACTCGTTACGAGATTCATTCGTGTTGGCCAAGAGCATGCTGAAGAAAAGGCACAGAGCATGATCCAGAGGCGACTTCTGTTCATTGATGATCTTTAATAGATACACATTTCTTACCAGTTTTGTGAAAATTGGCAGCTGTGTGGAAGAAAACCTAAACTGATGCACCTGCTCAAGTAAATCTTAACACAAGCTTGGTAATAATTTGTCCTGCTTGATAAGCTGGTTTACCCTTCATTATGAAGGTGGGTGGAAACTGCTAGAGCACACTGCTCCTTGCTCAGCCAGGTGGTTGAGTGATAAGAAAAAGGCAGTATAGGTACTCTTGAAGAGTTGGGCCTGCAGTCATGGAATGAGTAGATAAAGGCCAGAGTGGATGAAGCTAAACTGCTCTGGAACTATAGGAACTAGGTGTTGGCAGTGTACTTTCCAATGGAGTTCTTCATTCTGCTGAAATGTAGCTGACCAAAGAGCCCCCAGCTTTGTAAGATGCAGGTGATCATTTGCAGAGAGAATCTGTGCAGAACTCCTCTTTTGTAATCTTGGTCTGAATTTACCAGATTTTATACTGACAGCTATACTAACAGTTCATAGGTTTACTTTTTATAGTGAAATGGAAGACCCTGCAAATCAAAGTACAGTGAATGTTCATTGTGAAACCTCTACAAATTCACTTGAAGGATGGGAAAACCAAGCCCTAACAAAAAATGTGCTAAAGGACTGGCTGCTGTAATAGTTCTATTTCATGAGGGTAGTATGAGTCATACTGCTTAATGTGCCTATCTCAGTATTCAGTTTATTTTTAAGTAGTGCTGTACAAATAGTGTTGTTTTTTTTTTTTGTGCCAGTTGTTGCTATGACTTCATAATATTTCCCTAAATACGCTTGCTCATACTTTCTCACAGCATAGTATTTGGCATTTAAAAACCTTAAGCCCATCAGAATTTCCTGAGTGCTGATCATTTTCATGCTTTATGGAAAAAAGGATAGCTCTGTGTATTATGCAGTTTTAGTTGAGGCGGAATAAAAGTTTAAGAAAAAGTCCCCACAACCTGTACTCTCACTTAAGAAAATGTTCCTCTGTTTCAGCTTTTCCAGTTTTCCCATGTAGCTTTTCAGATTAAATTTCCAGCAGTGGTGTAGTGTGTGGACACTGTATTATTGCTCCAGTTTGTTTTTGTAATTGGAGGGGCAAAAATACTTTGTGTGTGGTTTGGGGAGGAGGATGGGTGACTTGCTGAAATCTTCCTTTAAGTTTATAATTTTGCATACGGTTTCTTTTTCCAAGGCACTGAACGCCGCAGTTGTCTGCCTCATCTCTTTCAAAGGGTAGTAAACACTTCTGTGTGCTAAAGAAAAACAGCTATAATGGTTCCTGAGAACCTCTGCCATCTTGTTCCTCCCCTTGTTCTGCACGGCATGCCTTGGTCAAACACTTGCTTCCACAGCTTGCTTGGCTTGAGAGTGATATGTGTGTTAGTGCTGCCTTAATGGGAAAAAGGCAAGAAAACACAAACAGTTTACAGAATCTAGCAAACAATGTTTATTGATCTAACAATTTGTCTTTAAACTTGAGGTCTCCCTTTGACCAGATAAAACACCAGAAATTATGGTTAAAGATACCACTTCATAACTTTATATTTTTGTGAAAACTTTAAAACAAACAAACCCTTAGAAAAGGCTGTTTAATGTCAAACTCTTCTTTTGAGTTCATCCAACTAGTTGGAAGTTTATCACACTTTTGTTTTCCTCCTTGTGCTGCTTAAGGCTGTCAATGAAAGGCTGTTGGAAAATATAAATGCTTACAAATGTGATCTTTGCTTACATTGGTGTGGTGTTAGAATTGCAAGGGCCAAAATTTATCTAGAAAACACATTCCATGTCAAGGTGTAATGCTGAGAAACTGACAGTTGTGTAGTGTTTTAACACACTCTTGGTTCAGTAAAAGCACAGGTGGAAAAGGGGCTTTTTTTTGGCAGTTACTAACAACCTAACAAGCAGATGACTGTTACACTGGCATTTTAAAACTCTTCGTCGCAATAGATGATCATCTTTTCTAGTTGCCATTTTGCAGAACCATTCCTGTATTTTTGACTATCATTTCAAAATAAAACAACTGATATTCCTGGTGTAGTTTTCAGTTCTGTATTCAGTGTTCATGTTATTTAAGCTTTCTGTGAATTGCATTATGGAAATGAATTGGATGAAAAACTGTTCAGGAGGAACAGCTTGTCTTCTCAGCCCAAGCAGTTTTGTTCTGTTTGCTGTAACTGTCCAAACAACTGTTTTGTTTCAGTAGCTAGTTTTTGGTACAAACAAGCAGTGTATGCCTACAGTTATGGCACAGTTATTTTCATAGTGTCCAAGAAATGAGAATTTAGTGTTAAATTCTCTTTGGCTGTGGAAGCTTTCACTGCTGTTTCTGTCAGCAGTGTGTTATAACCACTAGGGTGGAAGGTAGGCCAGATTTGTAGATGTTTTCTGCCCTTCCTTTTGCACTAAGGGAAACCACGTGAGGCATTAAGGAAATTCATAGGGCAAAAAAGAGGGAGCTTCACCTTACATCCTACTGGTGAAGATACCCCTCCTAGAAGGCGTGTTAAAATCTACTTAACCCTGGCAGTAGCTGTAGCAAAGTTGGTAAGAGAAATCTAAACAGGAGAACTCTACAGATGAAGTATCTGTAGAGATGAAGCAGAGATTTGCATGTGTGTGTTGTGGGAAGCAGCTGCTTCCTTCCTCTCTTACCTTTTTGTCTCTGCTCCACAAACCACATTTGTGGATGTGCCTGAATTTTTGCCTTGGTACTGGGTTTGATACTCACCTTAAATGTTAGCTTAGGGGAGCCCTAATTTTTTTTTCTTTTTTCTTTTTTTTTCCATAAACAGTATTTTACAGTCACCTCTTTTGATGTGGATAGATCATGTCTTTCTTCCATGCAGCTGTGTCTGTATAAGTGAGAATGTCTGAATTGTTAGTGAGTTTTAATAAAGATCAAAATTTGGACTTGATTCCCCCCCCCCCCCCTTTGTTTGTTTTACTAAAAGATAAATGCTAAAATAAATAGTGTGGTAACATGTCACATAATTCAGTAAAACTGCATGTGGAAGTTTGAACTTCTAGGCAAAGCAGTTGTCACCTTCAAGGAGACCTTCTGTCATGCAGCCTTTAACTTTTCACATGTGGGAACAGTATATAAGTGTATCATACCATCATTTACAATCCATTATCTGCTTTAAAATGCACAACAGTTGTGGCAAGAAAATGACAAGTAGCTCGGTTACTAGCTCAGTAAGAGATCTAGTCACAGCTGGCTGGGTGAGATAACAGGCTGTCTGAATATCATAAACTACTAAGGCTCTGGGGAAGGAGGCTGGTCTTGTCTCCTGCTACTTACATAGCTGCAATGCTCTTCATGTTGGTTTTGCTTTACAGTGTGAAGGAAGCTCTGTTTTGTATTTGTAGATGCCCTTGGCTTTCAAGTGGATGATTTGAATCTAAAATTCTTACAGAAATAAAACATCTTCCTTCTGAAAGAGGACTTTTATTTAAAGCAGCAAGTTGTTTTGCCCTTAAATATTTGCATTTGGTTAAATGATAGAGCAGGATTGAAAAAGGAATAGGAATCAGTGCAGGCTATGGTATCGGTAGCGAAGGTCAATTGATTGCCTCTTCTGGAATGCTTTGAAGTGGAATACTTACCGACTAAGCATCATGCTGCAAATCTTTTTTTTTTCTTTTGTTATAATAAGAAATTTTATGACAAAATAAAATCAGCAGTTTGAAATGTTGTATAGACAGATGGACTGAACACGTTCTGGACAACAAATGCGATGATGGCAAGAGCCAAGAACTTGTGTGGTAGAACAGTGTTCTGTTACGAAATGCACTTATCTGCGTGCCCTGTGTTGTTTTTATTTGGCATACCTAGATATCAAGAAATTGAAGGATGTTACCGAACTTCATTTCTCTTTTGATAACTGTTTTTCATTAATAATGCTCATAAATATTTTTTCTCTCTTTACAGATTCTGAAAGTGTTTTAAGATCTGAATACTTACAAGCTCTCCATACATAGAAATGTCTGGCTCATATGATGATTCTGTTGGAGTAGAAGTTTCTAGTGATAGCTTCTGGGAGGTAACCCTAATATTTTATCACAATATTTTTATTTTACTTCTTACTATTATTTTAGAAAATGTATTTTGTACATTGTAAACTGTGGAAAGAGCTGCAGTAGAAGTCTCTTTTGGTTATTGTGATCTGCAGAAACAGCCTTCAGGGTCGAAACGACCTTTTAGATTTTGGCCTAGTTCTGTCAAGGGTTTTTAACTGGCCCAAACTTGAGAATCAGCCATTTGCATAGGGTATGCCATTCGGAATTGAACCTTTGTCAGTGTCACTTGTTGAAGAGAGCTGTGGGTGAGTAGTTTTTAAAATGACCAAGAGGGTTGACTAATCAATGTTAGAGCTAAATTAACTGTTAAAGGCTACTGTAAGCATACATAAATTACAAATACAGTGTGTGACTGTACTGCATGTCTCCTGTTTGTCTAGATACAAGTATAAACTTTGAGAGACAATATCTTATGCTTATCCCAATGTAAGAGCATGCATGCAGAATGATAATACAAAGCACATTGTAGTATCAGTATCTTGTGCTGCCCCAATTGGAAGAAGGCTTTCAGATGTTATGATAATTTGATTAAGCTTTAAAGAGAGCAAACTTCATAATGCAGGAAGCATTTTACAAAAAAAAAAGAAGCTTGTTGCAAGAAAAAGAAAGGTGTGACAGTGTCAGTGCTGTCATAATTAGAGGTAAGGTACCAGTTCTGTCCAGGTGAACTGTATTCAGTAGGGCAAACTTCTGCCATGTGACTGGGAGCTCTTTTGAGCTCTTATAGCAAATATGAAAATGGCTAGGGGGAAAGTGTCTGAATATTTCTGTTATCAGAGACCGATGTAAGACATCTGGGTTTGGTGACCTAACATTGTGCTACCTTTGAAATGAAGGCTTTCCTAGATCACTAACCTGTGTTGGTGGCAGTGAGGGCATATTGTGTTTTGATGCAGATCTCCCATTATTTTTCGATACGTTATCTAAAAGATCTAATGCCAGTGAGGTTCTTGTTTAGTAGACAACTAACATTTTTTTGAGGAGACATATTTACTATCGTATTAAATGTGTCTATCCTATTTATAAAGTGATATATTACTGAATTACTGAGAAATAACTGAATTCTAAGTCGTAACCCATTTTGTTGTAGGGGTACTCTGTAGCGTGTCTGCAGAGAGGATGTGGGACCTTTGCTTTCGGGGGTGTCTAAGACTCAGCTGAAGATAGTCCTGAGCAATCTGACCTATCAGACCTGCTTTGAGCAGGGGGGTGGACTAGATGATATTCAGAAGTTCTTTCTAACTTCAGCTATTCTGTTTTGTTTTATGCTGAGGCAGCTTTCTGGGTGGGCTGAATTTTAGTGTAAAACATGTCCTTTTTCCATATGTTCTGAATAAGTTACGCTGTTTCTGAAGACTGTAACTTTGAATTCCAGTCTTAATCTTTCATAATGGATAACTAAACTGCTTTGACCAACATGTTCTGTCTGACTTGATTAGAAAAGATGCGGTGTCTCTGGAATGCTAGTCTCAGTACTTCCTGCCTCAGGTAACAGGAAGTGAAGAACTCTTAATCGATTGGGAAGTTGTATTGTTACCGGAGATTTTGTCATTCTCACCATTTCGCCAGATGCTTTTTAAGATACCTGATGCAATAGGTTTTTCATTTGTTTTTAAAGACAGCCTGCAGTTTTTTGAAAGCCACTTTGCTGTGTTTTACTGCCACAGCTGAAAGCAGTGAATGTATTTAAACCTGGCCATGGCACAGAAGAGACAATCTGGCAGGGTGAGCTTTTGAGTTTGTTCCCTAAGGCTCCAAAATAGCTCAAATTTATTTACTTTTGGAGTGTGCTGCAAACCCCATCTTTTTATTGAAAGACATTTAGGAAAGGGTGAGGTGGCTGGATGTGGAACCATCTGAAGAACTTACTGTGGAAACTGTTTCTTGCTCACTGCATATCTTTGAAACTAAACTGCTTGTATTTCTTGAATGTTGATGTTCTGTTGAGCTGATCAGAGCTGTTCTTAATAAAATGTTGAGGAACCAACTTCAAAGTTTTTGCCATTGCATTTGACAGAAAATTCATAAAACGTTGTCTCTAGGAAATAAACTGCTTGGTTTTTAATCAGGCTTCCAGTTCTAGAAGCATTTGTTTTCTTTTGGAGTTATCACTGCCTTTGCTAGGGTTCCTTGTAAGACAATTACTAGCAGTTTGCTCACGCTTACAAATGTGAATCTATATTATATGGTTGAATAGTATTAAACTTGCTGCTCTAACCTTGTCTGGTTGCGTACGTTCACACTGTGCATGGAGCAGTCAGTACAGGTTACTTCATCTATGAAACGCCTTTTTTTTTTTTTTTATGAGGTTACTATTTCAGTACTGTTCATGGAAACTTCCAGTTCTGGCACTGAGGTGAAGCTCAGCGCTTGAAATCCAATGCGAATAGTAATTTGTTCCCTTTAAATCCTAGCATTTTTTTATTACTGCACAGATATAGTTATCAGGTTCAGATTTGTGATTGGGAAATAGTTGTCTTGTTGAAAGGGAATGGGAGAAGTTACTGTTTGGACTTGTGTTCTTGGTGTTGACTTACTATAGATCTATGTCAAAAAATTTGGGTAGGACAAGACCTGAATAGTATCTTGATCAGAACAGCTGATCCAGCTGAAGAAAAGAGGCTTTCAGAGTTATATGTAGTCCTTTAGCATGAAACAGAAATAGAAGCAGCTTTCACAATTAAATTGTGGATTTTTTTTCTGCATTTAGTTAACCCAAGCAACTACTAAAAGCTTTTTGTCTTCTAGCAAGATGATAAATCTTTTTTAGAAGGACAGGTATTTTATTTTCCTCTGATTTGTCCAATTGTTTACCAAATAAAAGTGCTTTTGCAGACAGAGAACATTTTCTCACGTAGGGTTGCTTAGAGAGCAAGGAATTACAAAATAAGAAGACAAGACATTCTGAAAGATAATTGCAACCATAACAGTGGAGGAGTTGTTTGGGTTGTAGTAATGACTTAACATAAAAAATGGAAGTTTCTTTCTCTTTGTTCATTTTCCTGACAGGCCTACAAGTACCGTGATGTATCTGATTAAGCTTATGGCTCTCTCTTAGTGTAGAAATTTAAAACCAAGTAGTCTTGTTGATATGCTTCAAGAAAGAATACCTTCATCTGTGTTGCTTAGCTGACAAGGGTGGCTTTGAGTAATCAGAAGATTATTGCTGATAGCCTGGAGCAGGATAGAAGCAACTTTTCCAAGGGAAAGTGGAAAATTTGGATCTTGACTTGCAATTTGAACCCCCCTGTATTTCTTTCTTATCTGTCATATGGACCCTTAAAGCATTTGCATGACTGCCATAAATACATGTTAGTTTATCATAATCATTTGTGCCACTTGCATCCAAAACCAGACTGTGGCGGAACTGCTGGTTCCAGAATTGCATTGCTTCAGTAAAACACAAGAAATGAACAACCCTATTGACTTTGTTCTACTGAAGTAGTTTTGAAATGCACATGAAAGAATTTGGTATGTTAATGAATGGAAGGCCAATTTTCTGATGTGTTTGGTTGGTTTGGCTCTGGCCTTATGATTGCTGATCACTATTATGGTCATATTAAAAGAAAAATGCCTTGAGCAAGCAGAGACCAATGCTATCGTTCACTCAGATGCCAGTGAAGGTAAGAACAACGATGAGTAAGTGTTCCTAGAGATCAAAGTAGAAGTGTGTGCGTATCCTGCAAAGTAAGACATCAAAAGGAACAGCTACCCTGCCTGTGGAAGCACTTACTTCTAATGAACTGTAGGTCCCTCACAGGCCGTGTGCCACTCATACCCTAGATGTGCGTCCTTACTCTCCCTGATTTTCTGCTAGCTTCAGCAATATGAGCCCTCCATTTATTGCAGGGCTATTTAACTGCCCTGTAAAAACACCTGCTTACTCAAATGAAAATAGCCATTCTGAATAGCTGCTAAACTGACAGCTGGCATTAGCTCTATGAACTTAAGCCTTTAACTTGGCCCTTGGAGGACAGGACCTGGTGTGCATTTTGAGGCGCTGAGCACATGGCTTTCACTGCATTCTGGAGTATTTGCCGAGATATCCACTAGCAAGATCAGAGTTTCATCTTGTTCAGAAAGGTGAAATTGGTCCCATATGTAGTTTGGATGAGTTATATGGATGCTATCATATGCATTCCCATTCTTCTTCCCCCCACCCCTGCAAACCCCAAAGCAAAGCCCAAGCCCAAAAGTCAGGATAGCAGAAGCAGCTGATCTGGGACATGCCTCCTATGGCTGCCTTATAAGCTGTCTGCTTAGATGGTCTTGGTCCTGCCCATTTGGTACTCCCAGTACCAGTGCTTAATGCCTGCTGCTGTCAGCCAGCATCTACATGAGATGTCTGGTTGGGGGGAGTGGGATTAGATGCAGGGAATTTGAGGGAGAATCTCCCAAAACTCACTCTCGAGTACTGGAGAAGTATTCCTGTGTTGGGGAATTTCAGTTACTTGTCAGTGAATGCTTTTTGCTAATGAAACACTGTTCTGTTTTGCTTTTTCATTTTAAAAATATTTGGAGTCTGCAATAGTAGATTCCTGTCATCTCCTATACGCTTTTTTTTTCCTCCTAATACTGAGCAACAGTATTCTCCATTTACATTGCCAGGTGTTTGCTTACTAGTATGCTTGGCTTTAGATTTTGTGGATTTAAGAGCTTCCTCAGGATTTTTCTGTCAACCAGTGGTGAATGTGTAGAGGAAAACGTACATAGAGATCGTGCTCATAGGTACTTGGACTGTGTATGTGCTAATTATGCACCAAGATAATTCTATTTAATTAAAAACCCCACAATATTACAAATGTTAATGCTGGTTGGAGTGCTTGGAAACCTTGTTTGATGTAGCTGGAAAGAAATTGGGCTCATTGTTAAATGGAATGCTGGAAGTACTGTGTCCCCATATTGGTCATCAGTATTCATGGGTTTGTCTATGAGCCTTCAAAGCTCATTATTGTGTTTACTGCCTATTCGCCTCCCTAAAAAAAACCCAACCCTGTTGTATGCTGTGGTGACTTTCTTTCACGTTTCCAGTTCATAAAGACTGATTAGTTATGAATAAACTAGACAAACTTGGAGAAAGAGGTGCCATCACATATTTCTCCAGGCATTTGAAACTCCTGAAATATTTGTGGTTGTGAGGATTATCATGATATATTAGAATTAACTGACTGAAGCGTAGCAATAGCTGAATGTTTGGGCTGCTAATGAATTGAAACATTCTAATTTTTCATTCGGAGTACCAGAAAACCAGGTAAGTGTGTTTAACTCTTTATAGGCTCTTACTCTGCTCAATGCATATGCTAAAAAGAAAAAGTCATATTAGTTGAGGTAAAGGAGCCTACATAATTTAAGACTACCCTCCCCTTGTGTTCAGGGCTGTGAAATTGTAAAATAATGAGGTTGTAAGCTCTTAAATATTCCCACTAAAGATGATACCAGCAACAGTGCTTGGTTATGTTATTGCACTGGGGGTCACAAAGGATGCTAAATGCCTCATCACAGTGTGCTTGTGTGTTTTTATTCTGGCTATTAGATTCTCTAAATCTGAGATTTGACAAAGGATTTGAGGTGACATCACTGTCTTTGTACATGAAAGGAAATATCAAAATGAGAAGGGATGTTTTCTTGACTAAGCAAAATGGAGATCTGAAGGCATCTGTAATGTCTGTAAGAAATAAATGGAGCAAAATAGGATCAACCAAAGCTTATTAATAGCAAAGCTCAGTTGTTTTTTTTTTCCAGTGGAAAAGAGGAAACTGGTGATTAACTCAAATTGGGGGGGGGGGGGGGGGGGGGGTGTCGACGACACACGACACACAAAACTGAATTAAAATTTTCACAGAATTCCCTGATTGCATCAAAGTTACCATTAGAGTTGTATTTTGAAGAAATAAACTCTTGTGGCGATTTCCTTTTGACATGTTTCTGTCAAATAAGGATAAACAGCAACTGAATGTCATACTGTGTAATAAAATGTCTTTCAGATGGGTCAGGTGTTGATGCTAAATGAAAGCTGGATATAGGTTTTAAATATCTCTTATTCTTGAAACTGTAAGAAAGTTTATAATCTTGCAGTTTATCTTCTTGAAACAAGTGTTTCACTTGTAGAACTTCATGTTTTAGTTGTCTGCTGCCTGTTTAACAGGAAATAGCCCAATGCTCAGAATGATCAGAAAGTTATTCTAACTGGCAAAATTCCGTGTTCATGTACAGTGCTAGTTGAGAAATGTGGAAATTGGAAGGCATTATGTGGCTGTGGCTTTGACTGAAACAGTGTATTCTTATTTTCATTTTTCCTGGTCATTTGCTACAAATAAAAGACTGTCATTTTTGCATCAGCTCACATACTTCCTGTGAGGGGGCAAGTCTTCCAGAATGATTGCAGTCTACCTCAAGAATTGGAGCAAATAGTCTTGAATAAAACAATATATTAAGTCATGTGCTTCTTCAAAATCCAGTGCGTCTTTAGTGTGCTTATAGGCGTTGAATTTAATTCTTTTAACTTTAGTTAATCTAGTAGTTCCTTAGCTGCGTAAAGACTAGAGTTCTTTTCCCTTGGCTCTGTGGTCTAAATACCTTCTGCACTTGTACCTTCAAGTCTGCCTCCTGCAGTGGCAGGCTGCACATTCCACTTCTCAAAGAAGTGATTTTGTTTGTTTTTTCTCCATGCATCATCCGTACCCTTAAAATGTATTTTTTAAATAAACCACTAGATTTATTTAACATTTATCATTCTAAAATGTTAAATGCAAAGTATATAACCTATATCCTGTGTCATGAAACACAGGAAAATGCTGCATTTCCAGAGTTCTAGCAAAGTTCCTCCTAGGGCATGAAAGTTGAATGTGATGCCCAACACGCTTTAAACTACTGTTTCATAAAGCAGTATGAAACTGTTTGAAAGTGTCAGTATAAAGGCGTTGTTTGGAATACAGGGTTGTCATTTTGTAGTATTGTAGGCCTGGTTCTTCTCTATACTATTTCTATAATGCCAGTTCCTTCAGTCCTCCTGAGAAGGAGGTAGCATGGGTGAATTATCTGTGGTTTGCATGTAGTTCTTTTTGACCTGGCCTTATGCGTGGCCTTATGTGACAGTAGTGAGTGTGCCATGATAGGTAGGCTAAATTCAGTTCTCAAAATACCTGCCTGAGATTTGGCAACTGCTAGGTATTACCATGAGGTTAGAATTTGCTCAGACAACACAAAATTAAAGCATTAAAAATACCATGAGGCAGCCAGTTCCCATTCAATATTAGCATTTAAAATGCTAATTTAATAGTGGAGATTTATGAAAGGAAATGTTCATGCTACAGACGTAAATCCCTGGGCACATAACTAGAGACACGCATTTACGCTTCAGTAGTTGTGCCAAGCTAGTATAACCTGTTTTAATAGTCTGCGTGGCTGTGAACCTACAGCTGGAGTGATTTTGAGCAGATGAATGATTGGGTTTAGAAAGTATTCTTTGAAGTACCTGATTTTCTTAATGCTTTGATTACATATGTATGTTTCTTAGCTTATGGTGCTAGTTTAAAACTGCCTCCTTAATTTCTATTTACCCTGAAAATCTGAGGTTATTTTTCATACTTTCTTGTTACCAGAGAAAATATGTTTTGACATGAATGCATTGACTGTCTTGATTTTTGGTGACACCTTCTTGTGATGCTGGTAGCTTCCTACCTTCAAAAAAGCGGGGGTTGTATGTGTACAGTTATTTTTTCTTAACATGATTTAGACAAATCAGTGACTGTAAACTAACATTTTTCTTAGATGCTACCTAAATTTCTTTGATTTGTTGAAATGGATCTAGCCCCAAACCAAAAACATGTCCAAATGAATCCTTCGAGGCCACTGTCTCAAAAGAAAAAATGAGGAATTGGTTTTGTCCTGTTATTACAGGCTTCAGTTTCTTCTTTCTCCCCAGCTTTGGTCAGGAGTCCTAACATATGCCTGTATTTATCAGCAGTCACTTATTTTCCCAGCACTTAATACAGGCTTTTCCCCCTCTTAGGGTTATTTCTCTGTGTAGTTTGAGGAGTTTTTCCTCAAGCAGATGGCTTGCCTTTACATCTGCTGACAAAATTCTGAATAAATGCAGACCTGAAGTTGGGTGATCTCCTGTGTTTAAGATGTGAATTGGATACGATTCAAATGTAAAAATTACAAACATGCTTGAAGTGTTTGAATATTTAAGCTACAGCCTTATTGCTAATCTTTATTTTTCAGTCAGGTGGTTAGGGTAGATAAGAATGTGATATTTAATAGGCTGTGCAAATTCTGTTAACCAGGTTCTTACGTCTTGTTTAATGTTTACAAAGTCAACCCAAGTGACCTTGAAATGAGCAGAAATATTATTCTGGGAGCAGTATCGGGTTTTTTCCCTTCAGTTGTCTAGGTTGGTGATTCCATGTTGGTGTATATGCACAAATGGAAGGGGGGGGGGAGTTAATTAAATAATGAAATTTCATTATGTAGTGTGCATTTTTCTCCATATCCTCATGCTTTGTAGCTTGTACTTTGAGCAACTCGCTCTTTCTCGCTCTCTCTTTCTCGCTCTCTCTTTCTCGCTCTCTCTTTCTCGCTCTCTCTTTCTCGCTCTCTCTTTCTCGCTCTCTCTTTCTCGCTCTCTCTTTCTCGCTCTCTCTTTCTCGCTCTCTCTTTCTCGCTCTCTCTTTCTCGCTCTCTCTTTCTCGCTCTCTCTTTCTCGCTCTCTCTTTCTCGCTCTCTCTTTCTCGCTCTCTCTTTCTCGCTCTCTCTTTCTCGCTCTCTCTTTCTCGCTCTCTCAAGTTAATTCTACGTATAGGAGCTCCATGTCATTGCTGTGACCATCTTCCCACATTAAATACTACAGTATACATTTGCAACTGAAAAAGGTAGACTTAGATTAGACATTAGGAAGAAATTCTTCACTATGAGGGTGATGAGACACTGACACAGGCTGCCCAGAGAAGCTGTGGCTGCCCCATCCCTGGCGGTGTTCAAGGCCAGGCTGGACGGGGCTTGGAACAATCTGATCTAATGGAAGGTGTCCCTGCCCGTGGTAGGGGGGTTGGAACTGGATGATTTCTAAGGTCTCTTCCAGTGAAAACCCTTTTGTGATTCTATGAAATAGTTGCTATCTAGTTTGTCAGCAGTGAAGCCCAGCTGTAACAAAGGGCATATCCGGTATCTGCTGTATATATAGTGGTTATGCTTCTTTCACACTGCATTCTTAAACGGAAATTATTATTATGCTTGACAGATGTTGCAGTGCTCCTTTGCATGTCTTTGCGATTTTATTGACCCTGAAAGATTAAACCCATAAACGTAAGGCATTAGGTACTTAATAATAACACGGAAGAGGGAAATGTATTTGTGTTGAATATCTTGATTATCTAAAACATTACCATGCAATAATAATGCAGAACAACAGTGATGACTGCGATAATTACATTGCAGGACTGATAAAACAAGGTTTCACGTTTAAAATTAACACCTTTTTTACAGAACTTGTGGCCTCTCTGGTACTGTTTCAGTTAGGTTTTAAGTTTAATTAAAAAATACCTTATGCTCTAATTGATTAATTCCTGCTAGTAGATTATCTTCTCCTAGGTAACAGTATTTGTGGTGGAGATTTATTTTCAGAGCTTTTAAGCAGAAATTGTTATCTCTTTATAGGTTGGAAATTACAAGCGGACAGTAAAACGGATTGATGACGGTCACAGACTTTGCAATGATCTTATGAATTGTATTCATGAGCGAGCACGAATAGAGAAGGTCTATGCACAACAGCTTACGGAATGGGCAAAAAGGTGGAAACAGCTTGTGGAAAAAGGTAGTGTATTCTGATTTTGAACTCTGCAACCTTAAGTGGTTTCTGTATATCTTTATTTTGGTAAGTACAATGTAGAAATTGTGTGCTTTTTTAGCCTGTAATTGAGCCTTTGCAAAAGGCTTAATAATGTGACAAATGACGAAGCTTTTACTGATTTAAAACAAACAAAGCCCTGCTCCTCTGCTAGTTTGCTTGTTTCTTACTGAAGCAGATGAATCTTGCCTTCAGTGTTGAGGTATCCAGATAGATTCAGTTCTGGAATCCAGCTGGAGAACCAGCTGTTTCTACTAGGTAACTGCTGGTATAGAACACAGTTTGAAAGTGTATCTGAATAATGAGGGGGCAGTGGCTGTGAGGAAACACTGGTAATAAAAGACATTTTCACTGCTCTAATGGAGGCAAATCTGATAGCGTTTTAGTATAATCTGAAATAGTTTGTCCTTTCCTGCTTATCCATGTTGAGAAGCTGAAATCAGCTCATTAAGGAGGTAATAAGTAGAATATTGAGAATCATGGTACAGGGAGAAGGAGGCCAGGCTAAATGAATATTGTTCTGGTGTAAAAATTTGTAAGATTCTGAATTTATCTGAAAAGCAATTGTTCCATTTTCTAGGTTTGCATCAATACTGCTGTTTACAAGTGAATATAAATCAATAGCTTCAGATAGTTTCTTGGGAATATAAGTTCCATGTGGGTGATGGTTACTGAGAATGACACTTTCTGTTGTGTTTAGGCCCACAGTATGGAACAGTAGAAAGGGCTTGGTGTGCTTTTATGTCAGAAGCTGAAAAAGTGAGTGAACTACATCTAGAAGTAAAAGGTTCACTGATGAATGAAGACTTTGAAAAAATCAAGAACTGGCAGAAGGAAGCCTTTCATAAGCAAATGATGGGAGGATTTAAGGAAACCAAAGAAGCAGAAGATGGATTTAGGAAAGCTCAGAAACCTTGGGCAAAAAAGCTGAAAGAGGTACAGCAGTAGATTATGTATTAGATATCCTATGTTATAGTATATTCATGTCTCAGATCTCTACAAGGGAGTAAACTCCCTATTCTCTCTGCTGGACCCTCCTTTCTTAAACAGATCTCTTGCTTTCTGTCCTCTTCTGAAAAGAAGTGTTTTTCTGTTGGTCTTTCCTAATCTTGGTGACTTCAGTGAAAATCTGGGAAAAGTGGAATATAAGTTATCATTTTAACAGTATCTGATTTCGTGCATTTCAAAGTTAAAAATTGCTTGAAGAGATGAGCAGGAGGAAAGTGTTTGTGTTTGGTTTTTATTTTTTTTTTTTTCAGTGTCATAATATTCTTAAATAACAGGTTTATAGAAGAAGGGAAGCAGGAGAACATGGGTATCAGGAAAAACGTTCTGGTGGGGGCTCTCTGTAAACCTTTTCTTGAGAATGTTCCACACTTCTCTAATATGCATGAATGACAATTTTTCTATGGTGAGAGAATGCTAATTCATAAGTACTGCAGTGCTTTCCTTATGTTGATTCTTGTGTACTGTTTGTTCCTTGGCCTAAATTAAAAACAAAAATATCCAAAGAAAGAGAACAAAATCTGACACTTGGGCATTGCAACATGATTATAAGGCTGAAAGATTCAGTTGATGGTTGTTGTATAAACTGTCCCAGATGCAAATAATCAAATTGACTTTGTAGGTGGAAGCAGCAAAGAAAGCGTACCATGCGGCCTGCAAAGAGGAGAAACTGGCTATATCCAGGGAAACAAACAGCAAAGCTGATCCAGCACTAAATCCTGAACAACTTAAAAAATTACAAGACAAAGTGGAGAGAAGCAAACAAGATGTACTAAAGGTATACTGTATGCTAACATACCATTTGTATGCAGTCATTTTAAACTATAGTTTGTGCATATTTAAGCCTTTTTTTTTTCCTTCCTGAATTTGCCGTGGACTACAGTGTAGCTCACTTTCAGTTACAGTTCTTTACTAAAATATAGTATTCTCTCCAAAGCATATGTTACTGCCAAGTTCTTCTGTGAAGAATTAATAATGTATTGCCTCTATTTCATGTTAATACTTTCAGCAAGGAACAAAGCAGAGCAAGACAGGGAACTTCTGGGACAGTGTTCTACTCATTTAGTAGTGAGGGTTATTTCACTTGAGATGCTGTGAGATAGGTGCTTAAAATTTACTGACAGCATCCGAGCTTGTAGCCATTCTTGACTGCAGAATGCATTATTTTTTAGGAACACGGATAACCATTTAAATAACTAACTACACTTTATGACATGATGTTCTATTGCATTCATTCTCCTCAGCAGGCTGGTACAGAGAGGCTTTTCATGTGTGACTTTCTTCAAAGACATCTTTTCCTTCTGAGAATGCTGTTCTGTGATCCAAAGGACTGATGTTATGTCATGTGGAATCTTTTAGTGCCTGTCTGACTTATTTCTGTAAATTAGGTAGCATCTGAGGTTCTGTCCGTTAACTGAGCTCGCAGAGTTGCGATTTATGTTCACAGGGATGTATACAATGTTTGGGTTTTTTGTCACAACTCCCAGTGGACTATGTAAATATACTGAAGGAGAATAGATAACACTTGGGAGTTATTTGGAGAACTTTAAGTAAGCAGCCTGTAACTTGAAAGACTGTCTGTTGACTTGCTGTGTGGGTTCTTGTTTTTTATCTTTAATATTACATTAACATTTGTCATGGTTTCTCTTAAAAATCCGAGAAGAGGTTTAGAGCTTTATTGTAACAATTCTGCAGTTTTGGTAGATAACTTATTGTGACCTAGCATAGGGACAGTGGTAATGAAAAGCGAATGCATTTTGGGAACTTCTGGTCTAAATCTTGCCCATTACTACATTGATAAGTCTGTTATGTAGGATAGTAATAAAATATATTGCTAACAGTTTGTTTTTCCACCCCTAGACAAAAGAGAAGTATGAAAAATCACTGAAAGAATTAGATAATGCTACTCCTCAGTATATGGAAAACATGGAGCAGGTATTTGAACAGTGTCAGCAGTTTGAGGAAAAACGTTTACGTTTCTTTCGGGAAGTGTTACTGGAAGTGCAAAAACATCTTGATTTGTCTAATGTTGCAAGGTAAAACTGCAAAACTTCAAAATTAATGCTGAATAGTTTTCAGTGAAAAGTAAGCCATGCTTCAAGTAGAGTTTGGAACCTGTTTGTTTCTAATGTGTTACATCAATTTGCTTGAAGTGTAAGTGAAAGAGCTTAATTCTTTGTTTTGTCTAAGATCAGATTAGCATCTATCCCTAACATTTGCTGGTTTTATTTAATGCAGTGTTAAATGAACCAAGATCTCATTCTTGTTGCATTTCTACAATCAAATGTGTGCCAAAATCAAAAGGATTCAGAGCTTAGGATCAGAAAATGCTGGATCAAAGATTGGGAAAGGAGGGTTTTGGAGTATTATGTATCTGGCATGTTTAGTGGAAAACAATCTAGAATTTGTTTGTGCGAGACAGCATGACCTTTGTAGTATAAACACATTTATTGTTAAAATATTAGACCTCCGTCTGAAGGAATTATCTTAACTAGGAGATAAATGTTAAAGATGTGTTGGTTGGCCATTGCTGAACTCTTGTCCATCTTAAGTTCAAAGTCTGCTCCTTATGCTGTCATATGTATAAAGCATGTCTTGTATTTTGTTCTTCCAAAGCACAAAAGTGCGGAACAAATCTCCAAAACAAAACAAAAAAAGTGTAGAACAAAACTCCAGAAAATAGCCTTGCTCTGTTCTCTACGGACGTAGACCTCCAGTTTATTGTTGATTTAATCGATGGCGAGTGAGTCATTCCAAATGATTTATTCTCTCTCTAAAAATACGAGCCTTTCTGTTGTTTAAATACATTCAAAGAGCCATGAATGGGGTTGTGGGGGTGTGGAACCAACCATACTGCATACGTATTAAAGCAGTCAAGCAATATATAGAATCTGAGAAATCTGGAAGTATGTTTTAGGAGAGTTTGACTCCTTGACATGTAGCACTAACGAATTCAAATTCTAAATTTGGTGCGACTTGGTTCTGTCCATCTAAAAGGATTTTCTCTGATTTCTCTAGCTTGAATACAGGCTAGCAGTTCTCTGTCTCTTATTTTAAGCCTTGTGGCTGTTGTGTTAAAACCTCTTTATACTCTAAATGTTGTGTTGCACCATACTGGGTTTTTTTTGATATAATACAGTTGTATAGAAATGCAGTTGTATTTGTAGTCATTGTCTGTAGAACAAATGCATCATGTGCATGGTTCAGGATCAGAGGATCAAAGTTTCATCTGCAACATGACTTCTGTAAAATACTTTTTACTTATGAGAACTCACCTTTAATGAAAAACAATTAGCCTAAGAGATAAGTAAAAGTAGTAAGGTGCTTTTTTATATTATTTGACATTTGTCTAAATAGTACAGTTAGTAAAATCAGAGAGGAGCTGAAATAGTAAAAGCAGTTAGCAGATATTATACCTGCAGAGGAAAATTGTTTAACCCATTTAATTTCAAGTTTGAGATTTTTATTTTTATGGATTCATTGGATTAAAAAGGAGTTTTCACAGAGTGCTATGGGCTTAGCACAAAAACAGTTTCTCCTGTCTTGTAGACAATCTTTTAAATTCATAAAATTTCAAGATTGGCATTCAGTAATTTAAATTCATTCTTATGTATATCCTACGTTTAATAACAGCCAATGAAGTTACTTTATACAACAATCATAATTCTAAAGAATTGTCCACAGAATTCTAGAATCTGGCAAATAAGGATTTTATGGTTTTGTGAACTTTCAGCAAGCTTACTGGTTGGACTACTCCTTTTTTGCAGGTCTTTGATAGGTCTGTTAGTTTTAAAAAGTCTGTCTTGCTATAAGCTTTTTGAATACTATTGTGAACTTTGAAATACAAACTTACTTTGTTTTTTAAACCTGACTAGGGGATTTGCCATGTTTCTAAACATCATTCTAAATTTGAAGACAAATTTGTTTTGCAGTTACAAAAACATCTACCGTGAACTGGAACAGAATATCAAAACAGCAGATGCTGTTGAAGACTTGCGGTGGTTTAGAGCTAATCAAGGTCCAGGGATGTCAATGAACTGGCCTCAGTTTGAGGTAAGGTTCCAGTATTTACAACCCAAACTTGTTTTGTCTATTTTTTTTCTCTTTGCCTCTGTCATAGTCTTTCTGGTGTAACAATTACATTCAGGCTTCTGGCAGTGAATTTTGTTGCTTTTACAAGTCATAGTAGTTTTCATTTCTTGATTTCCATTGGGCTCTCCTTATCTCCCAGCTTTTTGAGGTTAATTGTATCAGACACCTACTTAAAGGTAAAGGGGTAAAACAGAAAATTCCTATAGTGAGGTTTGTTTTTTTGTTGGGTTGTTTTTTTTAACCTAAAAAATTACTGAAGTAATGAGTGTGCCGTGGTTTATTTGATACACCCTGACAGCTGTATGTGTTATCCTTCTCCCCTTCGGTGTCAGTCTTCAGTTTGAATCTGCTTGCTGTTAGCAGATAATTACAGTGTAGGCAGGAAAGACTGAGGTGAAAAAGTTTGAAATAAATACTTCAGTCCTGAAAATTGGTATTTATAAATCTTAACTATTTTTTTCGATGTTGTTATATTAGAACAGCCTTAGCCAGTTGGTAATTTTATTGCTGAATGCCATCTTCAAAAGGAAGGAGGTTTTTTTTAAGTGGTATTCTGCTAACTACTACAGGAAAGAAGTACCAAAATGTATCAGTGCAGAACTTGCTACCAGAATATCACATAGCTGTAATAGAGATGAGTTTGTCTGACCAGAATCATGGGTTTAGTTGCAGTAAGTTCTAGGTTTAAATTAATGGAGCGGAAGCATCAATTCTGGAGAGTTCAATGTTCCCTTATTAACCATAATGGAAAATAGCAGTTGGTTTTTAAAATACTGACCAACTTCAGTTTAGAAGGCTTGAGAAATAAAACTTATAATATTACTGCAGAGTTGCTTTGCCCGAAATGCTGAACTACGGTTACTTCCATGTGGGGAAATTACCATCCTTTTTCATAAACATTATAATTAAGAGATTAAATACTGTTACTGTGTTTCTAATCAAGTTGTTTTTTCTCATTTACATGCTACAAGGATGACGTAAGTAAAAAAACCAGCATGATCAAATGAATATGAAATTGCATTATAAACTGCAAATATGCTTAGGTCAGTGGTCTTTAAAGTATGCTAACTCAGAAATCCAATATGTATTTGTACAAAGTTAAAATAATAAGGTATGTCTGAAAAGTTAGCCAGAAATCACTGAAGACTGACTGTGCTTGATGTATAAACCAATAGTAACAGCAACTTGCAAAACCTTAGTGTCCCATTAAGTATTAAGAATACTTACCTTAATTGGTATCTTTTGTATAGCAAACTATCTCCTGACTGTGTGTTTTTTATTTTTAAGGCTTCTGAGATCAAACATGTTTAAGCATAGGATATTTGCTTGAATCCGGTTTGTTCTCTGTTGGTTCCTGCTTTATATAAGTAGGCAGCTTAATTTGATTTGATAGGTACAAGTTGTGTTTAGGCTTCATCATGCCTGTCTGTCTGCTTTCTGAAACATCTGAATGGCTCAGAACGTCAAGGAGGAGATACTTTACAAATGCATCATGAGTCTTGTCAACAGTTGTGTTGATTTGAGCCTTAATTCTTACGGATGGCTTTTAAGGACAGTAGGTTTCACTAAATGTAAAGTACCATAAGGGCTCAGATCTTAGGGACAGGAGAAGTGATACACAAGTTTAAAATTAGCTTCTTCATAGGTCACTCTTGGAGCCCTTCTTGAGAAGTAAGCCCCATTTTAAATTAGGTTATAATACCTCCTTAAATTAAATGTAAGGTTTACCTTTTAAAGCCAGATGTCTTGGCTTTCTTTAAAACAGTGAGCGCTCTCAGTACAACTTTTAAGAGCTGCACTGGCCAACTCCTTTTATTTCCCCAATTGTCTGCCAGATGTCTGGTATTCTAAGTCTTTTCAAGGTGTTCAGAATACTAAGCAGGGTAGTACAGGTAACCTTGGGATTTTGTGAGTAGCACAGATACTGCTTTGCATTTCTAGGGTAGGAACTAGATGAGAACTATAACTGAAACACTTAAAGTAACTTTTTTTTTTCATATTGTGCTGTTGTATGTATAAATCTGTGTTCTGTAACTCAGTCTGAAAACTAAATGTGATCGTTCAATTAAATTTCTCAATCATGCTTTCCATTTATTGACAGGAGTGGTCAGCAGATCTGAATCGCACTCTCAGTAGAAGAGAAAAAAAGAAGGCTTCTGATGGGGTGACTCTAACTGGTATTAATCAGACAGGAGATCAAGTTTCGCAGCCTAACAAACATAGCAGGTATTTAATTTTTTCATGCCTAAAAAGACTAATTGGAAAGGATTGTTATCTTCAAGTACACTAAGCTCTATAGGATCAAAAAGTCACTGTCCAACCAGATGTTAGTTATTTGTGATGTGATTCTGCAGCTTATAAAGTATTTTTTGAATTATTCTCCATTTCATATTTCTCTTTAATTAATTAAAGAGACCAAAGTGCAATTAAAAGAGATCAAACTTAATGAGAAACTGAACTTTCTGTAGCTATTCTGGTAGTTAAGTCTGTTGCTCTCTTCCCATCTCTAGAAATGACAATTAAACTTTGGAATCTTAGAATCATAGAATCCATGACGTTAGAAAAGACCTTTAAGATATTGGATTGCAAAACATTTAGTTGCTTAAGTATTTGGGATGTGATTAATATAAAATTGTTAATATCAGTTGCTGTAGAAAGAAATGAAAATGGCTAGAAAAATCACACTGCCTTTTATTGCAGGCAGTAGGAAAAAGAAATTGTGGTCCACGAAGGATATTGTAATTCTGGAGGAATGTATCATGCGTGAGATTTTGTGAACTTTCTTGAGTCTTAAGCTGTCCTTGATAGATATTTGGGTTTCTGTTTGGTTATGGTTTTGGTTTTTGCCTGGAAAAGGGGTCTGCTAAGAAACTGCATAGTGGGACACCAGTGTCAGTGTTCTACTCTAAAACAGATAGGGTCACCATAATGCTCTTTCTTTTCCAAATTAGCAGTCTTAGTGTCCAGAGTAACACAGTGCAGTCAGTACAATCAAGTTACAATCCCTTTGAAGATGAAGAAGATACTGGGAGTACTGTCAGTGAAAAGGAGGACAGTAAGATCAAAAAGTTGGTGAAATGTTGTTTTTTTAATTGTTTTCACACTTGCACTTTCTCTATCCAGGGTTTTCTGGTTTTGGTTTCTGTAACACTATGCCGGTCAGTGCATGAAGTCCTTTTAAGCGGTTATGTAAGCAACACTGTAACCTAACTTGTCTTTCCTAACAGATGCCATATCTGTTGCCTTGATCTATGGTTTGAAACTACTGGGGTTATTGGCAGTTGCTAACAGAACTGCTGCTGCTTTTTTTCCTTCCTTTACCAGTCCTGTAAACTGTTAAAACCAACAGGTTTTTTGTACTGCAACTGCTTCTGGAGCTTTACTGCTCTGTGTGTTCTTGCTGAATAAGTCTGCTTTTATGATTGCTTTCTTTTTGTTTAGGACCTTCTCAAACAGCTGCCTGTTACTTCAGTGCACATACTGGGGGTGTCATACCACTCTCTTAAATGGCATGTGCATGCTCAACACTGAACTTTTGTTTAAATGATCAAGTTGTTGCAGTGTAATGAAGTTTCTCTATTGGTGGATTGCAACATGCAAAAAGTGTTGAAGGCTACTGCAGAGGTGCATAGAGATGTGGGAGGAAAGTTCTGCAAAGCAATGTAAATGTCTTATCCTAAGCCAGATAATAGATTATACGTGTCATCTAGTATCTGCATACCTTTAACCTTCTAGAGTAAATAATCCTGTCGATTATATAGGCTTATTGGTAGAGGAGTTTTTGGAGTTCATGGGGAGGTTGTCTTTGATACCTTTTTTTAATTTCACCTTTTTCTAACTTTGTAAATGTATTGCAAGAATGCTGCTGCTTTTCTGCCTTAGAGTGGAGGATAAGCTTAACTAGGGGAACTCATATCTTGGTGGTATTTCTAGTCTCCTATTTTAAGAGCAGAAAAGAGTAATTGAAAATCTGTTTTCAGTGTTAGCAGCTATGAGAAAAACCAAGGCTACCCTACGGATTGGTCTGATGAGGAGTCCAACAATCCCTTCTCTTCCACTGATGCAAATGGAGACACTAATCCATTTGATGAAGATACCTCTCCTGCAATGGAAGTGAGAGTACGTGCACTCTATGACTATGAGGGCCAAGAGCAAGATGAGCTCAGCTTCAAAGCTGGTGAGTTTACAGCATTTACTTAAATCACCCCCACCCCCCCTTTCTCCTTTTGATAAATATTCTTTTCTCTTCAGCTTTTATTTTCTGAAGTTGTACCTGTCCTCTGAATGTACAACTTGCAATATCCTACCTAAGCCTCCCCCCTCCCAATAGCGCTGCTTAGTATCCCCCATTCAGAAGCACTGATTTCTGATCTGTTCGGAATGTGTTTGGATGCATGTTTGAGATTTTCTTACAGTTTTACATTAAACAAAATGAGTTGCAGAACTGATAGAATCCTGTCTTCTCCTTTTCTTTTTTGGTGACAGGAACAGCTGCTGCTTTTAGCTGTCTAGAAATGTTAACCCAACTTTATAAAGTTGTTGTTTTTAAAGGAAAAGACACAGCAGTTAATTTTAAAACAATATCTGATCAACTGATTTTTTTTTTCTTTTTAAACTGGAAGCATCCCTTGTTTGGCCTCCAGCTTCCTACAGTGCAAACTTTTTAAGGTTCAGTATTTAACCATAGACAGATAACTTTTTCCTTTCTTTCCATTCCCCCTCAGTAAATGTAAGCTCAGTAACACTCTTTACCTGTTTTCATCTTATATTAGGCTACACTTACTATACATCTTCCTTCTTAGGATGTTGCATTTCCCTTGAGCCATATACCCTATTCCTTTTTTACCTCACTGCTATAGAACAGAATAGATCCAACTGACAGGAGACACACATGCCACAGTATTTGACACATACGAAGTTGGCACAAGGGCATGATGGCTGCATGCCTTGGATGCTTGGATGCCCTCCAATTCGCTTGGGCTAGCGCTGCCAGCCGCTGTGTCCAGGCAGCTTACTCAGCCCCCAGAGTGGGAAACTTCGTTTTTTATGATCCGGCCAGCCCGTAGGCAGCACCCTCTAGTGATGAAAGGTGAAATCTATGCCCTGATCATGCCTTCAAGCTCTAATTTCAGTCAGTTGTTCTTCTGTCGTGCTCGAAGCCGCACATTAAAACTTTACCGACCAGGAATTCCAGAACAAAATTGCATGTGAGTAGTTTATCAAAAGCAAACAGAACTTCAGGTTTTGCAAATGAGACAGTTAATCTCGTTGATCTTGTCCCTTTTCCTGTTTGCTTGCCATTTACTTTCTTCTGTAATGACTGATTTAGTCGTGGAGGAAAAAAAGGATTCAAGTGTTGAAAGAGTTTAGGATAACTTCTGGTTCTACTTCCGTTTCAGACGGGGTTTGCAAGAAGTATGCTACTTCTGCACCATCTACTATGAGTCTTAGATGGATGTTACAGCTGAAAGTTGATAGCCAGTGATGTACCTGAGCAGTGAACTGCCAGACTTCCAATCTGCTTATGGAGCAAGCTGGTGCTCAGAACAGTGTTTTTCCAGGGCATATTATAAATGTAGTTTGCGTGGTTTAAACTAAAAAGCCCCACAACTCAGATGTTGGTGCTCCTGCCTTCCACTCGCCTCCCTCCTTTCTCAGTAGTGAAACCTCTAGACATTTGACTTTTCTTCTTTGTAGATAATTGTAGGCTTCCGGAGAGGAGCAGTGGATTGGTTTGTCTATTAACTGTGCTGAATTGTGCCCTGACAGAAGGACAGTAGTAAGCAAACATCTGGAGCTTTCTTTGGAATGCACAGCGGCTAAGATTATTTTTCATTCTGTAGACTTTAATGCTGCTTTTTCTTAGCAGGGGATGGAAGTATGCTAATCCTTTTGAAATATGTGTATTGTGCCTGTAAAGCAAGAGGGTGGCATTCCAAGGGTTTACAGTAACAAGCCTTTCAGTAGCAAAACTATGCAATGTTTATACACAGAGATATAAAGGTTAAATACAAAGTTAGATATCTGGTGCTTTAGTACCAGCTGTGTGACTTTGCATCAAACTGTTTGAACCAAGTGGTTCTCTGAGTGAGGTCTGTAAAAATGAAGTACAGGGAGTATGAACTCTGGGATGTACATATGCTTAATTTAAAATAGCTTAATTCCTTTGAAGGAAGAGCGTTAAAGTACAGTGTAACACCAAATTACACAATTGTATCAATCATAGGGAAGGGATGACATGCTAGGCTAAGAATCTACTTACAGAAGCTGAATTACAGAATGGCTGCAGTCAAACTTAGTTTTGAGGCAGAAGTATTAGTGTGACTAGGTTTACACTGAACTTAAAAAGTCTAAGGAAAAAAACCTCACCAGGTCATGCAGGAGACAATTTAAAATGTATTCATGCCTGTGTTCCTATGTAGACTTCTGTAGACTCCTAAGCAGCTGTCAAGAGAGGATTAATGCATTTTAGGGATTGGTTTAAATGTACATGGATATTCTCAGATAGGATTTCCTTGGGTATTCAAAGAATCTGCCTGCAAAGCTTTTGTGATCACTTCTGGGTGCATGCTGTAGAAATATATTCTGCATAGTGTCCATTGAATGTACTTTAATACATGGAATTCCTTGTTATTAATGGAATACTTCATACATCTTTTGGCGGTTTGTTCTGCCTTTTTTTTTTTTCTTTCTTTCCTTTTCTTGGCAAATGACTGTGGGAGGCTTACAAAGAGGAAGAATAACTTTGTTTATTCCTATCTTATGAGAGCTTTTATAATCACGTAACAGGATGGGATGCAACCATCTACTAGATGTATATCTCACCCTACTGTGTCTCTGCCTTTGAGAATAAATAGCTACAGTAAATGTAGTCCATGCAGTGTTGTCAAAATGTGTTATTGTATATTTATTTATACAATAAATAAATGTCTTTATTGCAGTTGTTAGACCGTTTTCTGTAACTGTTATACAGATGATGCTTAAAAGTGGTAATAATTTCATAGACCTCCAAGATCAGTGAGCTTCCAAGCCCTAGCTGCTACTACATGTGCAACTGCATTGCGGCTTACTGTTAATGCAGTGTGGCTTTTTGATAGTCACTGGTTTTGCTCTGGATTAACATGCACTTCATAGAAGTAGAGAGAATGCTTGGAACTGTACACTCTCTCATTTTGCCACACTAGAAATAGTGGTAAAATGTCAACATAAGCTAAGTACAGCCTGCAGTGCCAAACACTTTACTAATGTTCTTCTCTTAGCTCTCTGGTGAGCTTAGAAACTGGAGGAGATGAGGCTTTAACTTTTTTATCTAACAGAGGAGCTATGGGAGATTGACACCTTGCAAGGATTTAATGTGAAGCTTGTCCATTTCTACCAAAGAATTTATAGTCCCTAGGCTAATTCATGTTCTCCTAAATGATACCAAGACTGTATATTTATAGCCGTTTGGGATTGCATTGTGGTTAGTAATATCTTCAGCATGTATTGCTATTGCTAACTAAGATGAAACACGAATCAGTTTATCTAGGGGAAAAAATTGACACAAATAAGTTGTACATAAAGAAATAATTATTACTAAGTGTGGCCTCTTTTGCCTGGCTGAAGTGGACATTCATTCGCTCATATACAGCATCTTCGTGTCTGCAGTGGACATGCAGATAACTGTCATATTACCTACCTGTTATTACTGAAAAGGTTACAGTTTATTAACAATGCTCCTTCTTTTTTCAGGGGATGAGTTAACTAAAATGGAGAATGAAGATGAGCAGGGTTGGTGCAAAGGACGCCTGGACAATGGACAAGTTGGCTTATACCCAGCAAACTATGTGGAACCAATCCAGTGACAAAGGACAACGCTAATACAGAAGTGTTACAGAAGCTCATAGGCTTGTATAGTATATATTTAAAGTAAGAGGAAGCTGAATGATGTATAGAGTGTATATATTTTAATGGAAAGGCGAGAGCTTGATGTCGAAATCATGATGATTTAAAGACAAAAGCTTGAACTAATAATTTGATACTGGTTTCACAGCTTGTGCACAATGCAAAGGAGAGGGGTTAGCTTGAAAAAATACTATGATAGGAAAAATATTTTTAAGCTTTTTCTCCCCATGTGGTCTGTTATTGTGAATCCTAAACATTTTTGCATTTCTATGCTTGTGCCTCATCCTACCCTAGGTATGTGGCTTACGCTCACTTTTGTTTAATCAGTTATTTTAAGTGACCTTCAGTAACTCGCAACTTGAATTTTAAAGATTATTATAATTAATTTTCTATTTGTTCTTAGCGATGTCTGAAAGATGCAGTATTTTTTTATTTAAATGCTGTGTAGTTAAGCACCTTTTTTGTATGCTTGGATTTATCAATCAATACTTAAATTATGACATAGATTTAGTCACCAATTGACTGAATGAAAACTCCTTCCATGTTATAGTAATCTTTCTATGTTGTCAGCATGGCTTGAAGTTGTAAAACAAATACTGTAATAAATATCTGTTACAGAAGGCTATTTGTAGCAGAGCTATCTGCAGGTGTCATGGGTTGGGATTCTATTATGAATGTTGTTTACGTGGTTTGACATTTAAACTAAGAGTTTTCCATCTAGAACTTAAATGGCACTCAAAAGAAAGATAAATTATATGTAAGCCCCAGAATAGTAGCTATTTCCTGCACATGTTTGCAGGGAATAAAGATGATCTCCTTTAAACTGCTAATGATTTTTGGGTGATTTGAAATGTTAAATCTGTGAAGGCTAATTTTTTTGAACAGAGAAGACTGTAAAATATATGAAATGCTTTTTATTAAGAGCCTATCTATGTTGTGTATATGTACATATAATTTGATATTCCAAAATATAAAGAGCATGGCTATTAGTTATCAAGCCTTTTTTTGTCAATAAGATTTAGACTGTTTTAAGAGTTTAAATTATAGGTATATTTAAATCTGCTTTCCTGCCATATTCATTACTGTACCATAGACAAAGTATTCTGTGATTAGATTTTCAGAAGTACAGTAAATACACTAACATACTCAAAATCTGTATTTGTGGATAAATCTATGGGTCAAAATATAAACTAGCTTTAGTCCTTACATGGATTATTGTAGCAGAACACTGTAAAATCTACATTTGTTTGCCATTACAGCTCGGCCATCTGTAATTGTGTCAAATAGTATGCATTTGTTACATTTAAAGTGGGTTGTAAAATTATAGCAGATTTGTGTTTAAAAAAAAACAAACCCAAACAAAAACCCAAGTATCAGGTAAGTAGATATGCTATGTTAGGAAGCTACACTGTTTTGAAGCTAACAAATCTGTTTTGAGGTAACTATAAAACACTGTTGGTAGTCTTGGATTTTATTGTTTGCTTTTGAGCTTATAGATATATTTAGTCGTCATTTTCAATGAACCAAAATGTGCAAGCTTAGAAAGTGGATGTATGTATATGTCTGTCAAGGAAAACTTACCAACATGATTGTTCATCCACAAGACGGTTACTAAAATTGTCAGGAATTACTGGTTTGGGTCTCTGTATTGTAAAATATTTTAGAAAACAATAAAATCTGTTATCTCTTAAATACACAGAATGCGCCTTTTACTATTTCAGTGTACATGAAATGGTCTTATGAATCAAATGATCTCTGCGGTTTACTGCAGTTCAAGGTGACAAAATCTGCATTGTCTAAGCAGGCCATAAAGAGGAGTATTACATCAGTGGCATTGTGCTACTGTTAACAAAAAAGGGGAGGTGCAGTCAGTGCACTGGGCAAGGGGCTCTTGGCAAGACATTGCAGCATAACTCTTTATGGAAAAAGAGACCGCATCTTTTATGTGTATGCAGAATCTATCATGATGCTGCTTTCGGTGGTGTAATCAAATCTGGTAGAGCTTGGGTGAGCAGTTAAGCTATTTATAGCATCTGAATATTTTCCTTTTGTGAGTTGTCTTGTTGACTGGCAGTGATTGGTGTAGTAGTGTTTGTGATGGCTAGCTGAAAGTTGCATCTCGTCTTTCCCATCAATTCTGCATCTTTTAATCTAAACAAAATACCTTATGCTGGATGTCCAGTTTGGTCAACGCACCATAGAATCCAAGTGGGAGGGACCAAGGGAGGTCTCTAGTCTGGCTTCCTATTTAAAGCACAGTCAACTCTGCATTCAGACAAGCTTGCTCAGGCCTTTGAGCTAGTCTGGAAAACTTCCAAAGTCTGATTTCATAACCTCTCTGTTCAAACTCTTACAATGCTTAATGATAATATTTTTCCCCTTTTAATTTGTGGTTAGGACCTGCCGTACTGCAGTTGATGACTATTGTATGTCATTCTGCTATGCTTGGATAGAGCTTGGCTCTGTGTTTTGGTAGCCTCCTTGTAGGTGCTGGAAGGCTGCTGTTGGGACCCCCAAACTAATCTCTTCTCCAGGTTGAACAAGCCCTGTTCCCTCAGCCTCTCCTCCCAGAGCAAGTGCTCCATCCCCCTGATGTCCCTCCACTGCCCTTGCTCAAGTTTATCAGGCTCTTGTACTGAGCGCAGGGGTAGACAGGAGGGTGTCTGAAACTGGACAAAGTCTTCCATGATGCTGAGTAGCAGAAGCTAATGGCAAATTTATAAAACATTTTTAAAATAGTATTTTTACATTACTGCTGACAAAGTATAAGCAATAGGCCATTTAAAGTGTTTTGATACTCTTACCAAACTTCACTTAAATGCAAACTTTGGGAAACAGACTTAAGTTTGGCCAAATGAAAACAACTAGTTTCATCCTCATTTTGAATGGACAGCTGAATTCAATTGAAAATTTTGCTTCAAGAACATGAATGTTATCTCATATGTAGTATATGGAGTTTGAATATACTCATCGTAGCCAAAATTAGAATGAGAATGCAGGGGACATCTGGAGGCTACCTAGTGCAGCGAGGTTGCACTCAAAGCACCTCAAAGCAGGGCCAATTACAGCAGGTTGTTCAGGGCTTGTCCAGCTGAGTCTTGAACATCTCTGAGGAAGAGGAGTCCACCATCTGTCTAAGAAACCTGTTTTAATGGTTCCTCACTTTCACTGTGAGGAATTTTTTTCCTTACATGCATCGGAATTTCTGACATTTCCTCTTGCACTTTGTTTGTACACCTCAGAGTCTGGTACCGTCTGGTACCGTCTTCACACTTTTCCATTTAGGTAGCTTTAACCTGGTGGCTATACTCTTGCTTATACAAGCTGGTGTGCTGTGGGCCACCTCTGCTATAAGTACATGCTCCTGATTCATGTTGTTCACTCAGATACTCTGGTCTTTTTATGGAGAGCTTCTTCTGGTCCTATCAGCATCTGGCCTTTCCTGCTGAGTTGGAGTAGCTCTGCAGGTATAGGACACTGCATTTGCCTTTGAGGCTCATTTTTGCATTCTGCATTTGTTCGTGAGGCTCTTGTCATCCTGTTTCTCAAGAGTTGATCTCCCACTGAGCAGTGGCCCTCTATACACTATAATTTGGTATCATCTGCAGGCTGTCGAGAGTGTGTTTTCTCCACCATCCAGGTTAGAAAGGCAGTAAGTACATCCACGTTGCCACGGCCTCCTTGCAGGTAGTTGGTAGAGAGCGGTATGGTCTCCCCCGAGTCCCCTTTTCTCCCAGGACTCAGCATTAAGCCTTGTTGAACATCACACAAGCTTCAGCCCATCCATCCAGCCTGTCCAGATCCCTCTGCAGAGCCTTCCCTAGATCAACACTCCTGCCCAACTTGGTGTCATCTGCACACTTGCTGAGGATGCACTCAATCCACTCATCCAGATCACTGATAAAGATATTAAACAGAACTGGTCTCAGTAATGAGCCTTGTGGAACACCACTTGTGACCAGCTGCCAACTGGAGTTAACTACATTTGCCACAGTGATACCTGCAATGATCACTGAATGAATTAGGTGCTTTGTCTTTTTAGTGTAAAATTGGTACTTCTTGCCAGTAATTGATAGCATTGATGAATTTATCTAGTTAAGATGGAATATCAAGAGAATCTTTTCAGGCAAATAACAGGCTGTTTTTATTAGAGAAGGTGCGCATAATACAAAGTAATATTAAAATTCCTTGTAAATCATTATTTCTGCGGCTGAAACCTTGACACAAAGATACTGAACACACTCCCCAGACTGCCCTCTTGCTTTGCTTGTAAACTACACGTACCTACATACGTCTGAAAGTCTTACTGCACAACTGGCCACATTTCAAAAGGTGTAACCTCTTCTCTAAGAATGACTATAGTAGGTCAGACTAGTGGGTGCTTTGGGAAGAGTGTAAGAACACATAGTGACATTTTAAACATATTTTCAGCTTTCAAAAAATCTGTGTCGTTGGTCCTATGAAAAAATATAGTTCTTTCCTCATAATTTTGAAAGTTCAGTTCACTGAACACCACACTATTCATACAGGTCTAAATGAGTACTGCAGAAAAGAGAACCTGTGATCAGTTCCACAAAGGGAACCAGTAATGTTCATTCTTAATAGCAGCTACTTCTGACCCCATTAGAGAAGTTCAGACTGTATTGTTATTTGGCATTTGACTTTTGAAATTCCTTTGTTGCTTTATCTAGGCAATCAGTACTGTACCAGATCCTTTTGCAGCTATTTTCCACTTCTGTGATCATAAGTTATTTAATATCAACAAACTGCCAGCTTTCTGCTCACTGGTTTTGTAGATAAATATCCAAATCTGCAAGTCCATGCATGAATCCCTCTGGGGGACACACTGGTAATCTCTCACCTTTTATTACTGTAGTCAGTAACTGATTTATGAAACGACCATTTCGGTTATTTCACAGCAATTTACTTCAGCTTTTATGAGGGACATCAGCAAGAACCTTTTGAAAATCCAACTCTCCAGTCACCTCAGCTAGATCACCTTTCTTCATGACCTGTGAAATCTCCAACCCTGTGCGGTAAACAGCCATATCAGTTGCGAAGTACTATGATGATAGATATTTCTAGAATCCTTGTGCAGAAAACACTGAAATCTGATTGCCCTGCTGTCAATTAAATGCTGCATGCAGCAAATACAGGTGGGTTTTGCAATGGGATGCTGCTTCTAGCTGTAGCTTGGCAAGTTCCTCGCGTTGCTAATAGACGTGGCTTACCTAAGCACAGTAAGGATTGAGTGTGCAGCAGGACTGTCTGTAAATTCCAGCATAGTAACTTTTTGGCTTTGTATTGAGCAATGTTGTTGAGATGTAGGCTGCTTTCAAGAATGGAAAGCTCCAAGAAACCTCACCTGTTAGAAGTGGTTATGCTTCTTGATGTTATCAGTACAAACAATGTGTTAGTACTAAGTAAAAATGTATTACTGCTGTGTTAAACTGCTTTCAACTAGGTTTTGATGTAACTACTAAATTTCATTTCCATATGGTGGGAGTAGACATTTGGGTGCTTGATCTTTCTGTTCTAGAGATTTCCAGCGTGGATTATTTGTCCTGGAATGATGCATGTCTGGGACTGTGTTGGGTCTTTGAGGATATCATTTGCAGAGGGAGGTGTCGTGGTTTAAACCCAGTCAGGCAACTTGTTCACTCACTCCCCCCCTTCTTTCCCTCCCCCTACTCCCGGAGGGACGGAGAGGAGAACTGAAAAGAATGCAACTCCCACAGGTTGAGATAAGAACAGTTCAGTAACTAAGGTATAACACAGATCACTACTGCTACCACCAATAATAACAATGATAAAGGAAATAACAAAGGAAGAGAATACAACACCTCACCACCAGCTGACTGATAACTCGCCCCCCCAGCCCAACCAAGCTCTGACCAATACCTAGTCCAACCCTGCAGTCTCCCAGCCCTTCCAGGTAACTCCCAGTTACATCCTGGGCATGACGTGCTGTGGTATGGAATACCTCTTTGGCTAGCTTGGGTCAGGTGTCCTGTCTCTGCTTCCTCCCGGCTTCCCCTCCCTGGCAGAGCATGAGGCTCACAAAGTCCTTGGCCAAACCAAAACATCATTGTTATTGGCTCTGTTCCTGAGCCGAAAGTCAAAACACTGCCCTGCACCAGCTACCAAGGAGGAGAAAAATGACTGCTACTGCTGAACCCAGGACAGAGGCTGGCCTGAAACTTTGAGCTACAACTGTCATGAGGTGACATATTTTCATTATGCACAATATTATTCTGAGCAGCGACAAATTGTTCAGTGTGACCAAGTTTTCCAAAGGGCATCAAGTACAATTTATACTTAAATACCTCTGGCCCTAAGGGAACCTTTGGCACTGGGAGGGTAATGAAGCTGTAGATTTCATGAATCACTGAATGGTTTGGATTGGAAGGAACCTTAAGATCACCCAGTTTCAAGCCCCTACCATGGGCAAGGACACCTTCCACTAAACCAGGTTGCTCAAAGCTTCATCCACCCTGGCCTTGAACACTGCCAGGGATGGGGCAGCCACAACTTCTCTGGGCAACCTATTCCAGTGTCTCACCACCCTAACAGGGAAGAACTTCTTCCCAATGTGTAATCTAAATCTACCCTCTGTCAATTTAAAGCCTTTCTTCCTTGTCCTATCACTATATGCTGTTGTAAAAAGTCCTCTCCACATTTCTTGTAGCCTC